TTAGGCTGGGATAATTTGCTTAACTATTTAAAGCACTTAATCCTTTCAAAACGCTCTATTTTTTTCTTTTAAAAATAGCCTTTAAATAATAAAATAAAATGCTTAAAAAATAGTCTATTTTTTTTCATATTATAAAAGCAATAATACTGATTATAGCAATTTTACATACCAAAAATCCACAAAGAAGAAAATAAAAACTATCTGTAATATCACCATCCAGAGAAAACCACTTTTAATGTTTAGATGCAGTCCTTTCCAGTAATTTTTTATGTGTACGTGTATATACAAAATCAGAATTCAATTATCATATCTAATTTTCTCAAGGATTGTAACAATATCTTTTGTAGGTAGATAGAAGAGACATTTTTATCACAATTTAAATGATGAGAAAACTGGAACCTAAAGGTACACATCTAATTAATGGCAGAGCTAGGGCTAGAATCAAGAATCCAGTCATAGGACCAGGGTCCTGCTGCTCCCCATGAAGCCTCCTAATTAGGTAGTTCTTTATATAAGAAGAAATTGTGCATCAATCCAGCATCTACGGGACATAGGCCTGTAATTGGATGTTCTTTCTCAGGAAATGGTCAGATTTAAGCTGATCCTGTGTCTAGATCATGGCTATGCAGTGCATAAGGGGCACTATCTAACATTTCAAAGAGAAACAAGAATGGAGCACTTAGGATCTTATCCCAGTGATAGGCTAACCAATGAAGCCAGGCAGGCACCATTAAGATTCAGTTTCTTTCCAATGGCCAAATGACATATGAACAGTGGTGGCTTGGCTCAGATCCTGTTGCTATGGGAACCACAGCCATAGGTTTAATCCCTCCATAGATTAGTGAGTTGCATTACAATCCATGACCACTGACTGTATTCCAGAACAATGTACACAGCAAGTGTTAACAAATGTACACAAGGCTGAACTGAATGTTTATTATTATTCAGCAGGGGCAGTCAGCAAAGAAGAATGCTGACAGCAAATATAAATATCCTACCAGTACGCCCAGTATAGAAAAGGCAATCCGATGTGAACTAGCTTTCTATTTTATTCTAAATAAAGGACTAAATTGTAATCCCCCAAACACAAACACACACCAGCTTGTTAGCTCTGCAGATGAGGGAACCATATCTTATTTATCTGCATGTCTCCAGAATACCTAGCACAGAGCCAGATGCGTTTGAAGTGTCAATGTTTTTTGAATTGAATTATATTTGCTAGGCTGGCGTGGGAGTTACGAAGATGTTGACTAGTAATTCACCATTCCTTTCCCTGAGAGCTCTGTAAATCAAGCTCTTAAAAAAAGCAGCAAGCTAAATTCCAAAACCCTCTCTTAGGAGAAATGCCCATGGCTGGTGGGGTCTGGACTATGTCCACTGAATGTGCAGATCTCTTCTGCACAAACATCACTTACTCCCAAGGGAGCCCATGACTGGCCGACTGGCTGTGGAGACTCACACGTTCCCTCTTTCCCAATGGCACAGGGGTCAGGGGAAAAGGGTGGGAGTTGACTGATGAAGCACTACTGAACTAAATGTCCTCCTCTTCCCAGGAGAAAAAAAATCTCACAACAGGAGGAGAGTTGGCACTTTTCTGGAGGGAAGAACCATAAAGAACAAGGGATGTAGCTGAAAATGATCTTTTCTGAAGACGTTTCTTTATTAAAGGGCCACCCTCATATTCTCTCTTACCTTAGATTGGAATGGTGCTATTGGAAATAACCTTGTCAAAGCTGTGGCGGAATCCTACAAACTGGGATCAAAGTTGATTGGGTGAGTGGAGGGGTAATATGGGATATGAGCTAAGATGCCATTCAGCCAAGATCTTCATTTTTTCTGAATTTATCCTGGAGCATTAGAAAAATGAAAACAAAATAGTATTTGCTAATAAAAACCTTTCCTGAAATGTACTGAGCTAGGTTTGAAGAAGCTGGAAGAGAGAATATTGATTTTTCTGGAAGGCAACCAAAACACAACTCAGTGATCTCCTAAGCTCTTTACAAACTCTCTTGAAGATTTAATCACAATATAAAATCCACGTTTTCATTGGCAGTGCTTGGTTATAAAATGTATAACTGTCTGAAGTGGCATCCTATATATACAATTCCCAGGTCTGTCTCCGTTACACCTTCTAGGGGCCTGCTGGCAAGGTCTGTCAGGTTGTGCCCTGACCTAGCCTTCTTTTCAAGGGAGACTTAGGATACACTGCCCAGCTGCCAAGTTCTCTATAAGAACCAGAATTTATCAGCATAAAGAAATATATGCTACCTTTTTAAATACTTTTACATATGATTTCTTTATTAGAGCTTGGTGTTCCAGAAATGTAGCCATCCAGCTCATTTGTACTAAATCAATGGGATTTGCTTTAGCTTCCTATGAACTTCTGTGAGCTCTGCTGCCACAATGTATCAACTGAAGTCTCTTGTGCCACGCTTTCAAAGGAAGCCACCTGCAGCAACTCTCACTTGGGGAGAGCAAAACCATCAAGAGCTGCATCTTTAACCTGCACATAGCCATGCAAAGGTACACAGAGAGTTGAGATGGAATCCAGGTTTGTCCACTTCTGGAAATCAAGCCTGTCTAGTCACCCAAAGACCATCTTTTTTTAGCCTAGGTTTTCTTATCTCCAATTCCTTAAGTTGCCTGTTTCCATCTTCAGACCCAATTCTGAGACAAACATTGGCCTCAGACCACAGCACAGACAGCAAAGAGATTACTTCAAAAAATAGTGCAGCATGGTGAAAAGAAAATAGGATTTAGGACTGAAAACCTCTGAGAGTTCCAGCTCTTACTACTTGCCTGACCTTGGATAAGTCATTTAATAATCTTAGTTTCTCTTCAGCAAAATAAGTATAAATAGTCATACTTATCTCACCAGGTTCTCTTCAGAGCAATTATGACAACATGTAATTATCTTGTTTCTTTGTTTATTTATTTTTCATTTCTCAGTATGCCTTACTAGATTATAAGCTCCAAGAATTCCTTGTCTTTTTGGTTCATCACAGTGGCCCACTGCCAGGGATCAGCACATAGTACAGGATTAAGAAGAGTGAATGAGATTTGAATGAGTAAAGGAACAAATAAAGGCAAGAAGGAAAGAAAGGAAAAAGCAAGGGCAGAGGCAAGGGAAGACAGTTTTTAGAGCACTATTGATATATGGTATATGAAAGTGGCCTATAAATTAAATATTACCCACATTATTAAAGAAATAATAACTCACATTTGATGCATTAATTATACCAAGGTGATCTTTTTAAAATGTTACTTCCCTGCATAAAACCCTCCAATGGCTTTTCATACTACTCATAGTAAAAGTCAAACTCCTGTTAGCTTACAAAGCCCTATGTCATCTGATCCCTGCTGGCCTCGTGTCCATGCCAGACCCCCATCACTCCAGTGGTGTTCTTGAGTTTCCTCAAACATGCCAAGTTGGCTCCTGCTGAGAAGCCTTTGTGCTAGCCCCTTCCCCTTAACGAAAGCTCTTCTGCAAAATCTGTTAGGCTGGCTCCTTTTTGTCATCGGGCTTTTAGCTTAAATGTCTCCTCAGAGAAGCCTCCCCTGTAAACACACTGTGAAAGAGCCCTTGCTGACTCTGTCACAGTACTCTATTATTTATATATTCATTTATCTATTATGAGTCCCCTCCCCACTGCCTGATGATCAATAAGTATTTGTTTTTGTGTGACATATTTATTTAATGCTTATACTTCATAGATACTTTTCTAATTATTATTTTTATTTTCACAATTATGAGCTCAAAACAAACAAAAACCCCTATAGTTCCAAACTGAAATTTTCCTCTCCACCCCTCCATACTCCAGCCCCCCATACACTTCAAGAGAGGTATCCTGGCTCTGTGAAGAAAAGCAACTGTGCCAGTCAGTTTTAACACTGTGATTTAATTGGAATGATATGCAGTCAGTGATATAGTAATTACTCAGAACTCTATCTAGAGAGATTCTTTTGCAACATGGAACTGGTGCTGTTGGGAGCCAAGCTGTTCTCTGTTCTAGGCTTAGAGGCCCCCTGGATCAGGCCCGGAAATAGGCAGAGGGAAGCAAATGGCAGGAACACTCATTGGCTCCATTGGGTTTGTTTACTATGGACCCCAGGGCAGCAGTAATTCTGTAGGAAGAGCACTGGACCAAGGTACAGGGACAGGCTCTAAGGCTGGTCTACCTACCCACTTCCCTCTCACTCCACACTATCGATCCCTCTGTTACATAAGGTGGAACTGGATAATCTCGAAGGGAAATCCCACCTCTGACATTCTATGAGTCAATGAGGTGTCTGACCTTTCATCATGACCAAGATGTCTGTGACAAAGATGACCCATGTAATAGTTTTGATAACGTGCAGCTCTTTTGGACTGAGTGGGATTTCTTTGATTGGTCAGTAAAGTAACCAGACAAACTCATCTCTGCTTTTGCCATTCTTCTTTAGCTTTCCATTTCCTTTGCTTTCCTAGAAAAGTTGGTGCTCTGGGCAAACCTTTCGTTGTCACATTGAGGATCAACATCTAACTATAAGTGCATTTTATTCAACTACTCCCCAAGAGATGGGTTCCTACTGTATCTGATCTTGTCCAACACTCTACCATCTGCTTTCAACATGTTGCATCTGACATTAACTAATGTCTCCTATTAGCATGAAAAGAAAACAATCTGGAAAAATTCACTCTCAAGCAGAGTTCAAACAGGCCACAAGTAGATGTGGAATCTCAACTGTACAAAGTTCCTTAAAATTATCGTAGTAAATAAATATATAAATGTTATATATGCACTATATATATGTGTGTATATGTATACATGCACACGTGTATATGGGTATATATATATGTATGTATGTGTGTATATATATACACATATATATACTTTCCTATATTATGAAATTAATTGATAACAGAAGGAACAGAAAAATTTTCCCAGTATGGAACAAGGCACGATCAAAAGAACTGAATGACATGGAAAAAGAATTGGGGATCTTTATCTCACACTTACTGGTAATGGGTTAAAATTCTGGTCCACGAGGTGATTGTATCCATGGTCAAAAAATGAGTGCCGTATCACAACATCAATGCCCTGACTGGCCAGCATTCCTAAAGTGTTCAACCATCTAAAAAGCAGGGAGGAAAGAGCTACATCAATATATTTTTAAATGGCATATAACAAGTTCTGTAGAGATTGGCTAACACGTGCACATATATAACAACCCCCCACCCCCACCACCAAATTTACCTTGTACTTTAAAGGAGATTACTTTAAGCATTGGGTATACAGCTGGAAGAGATTTTAGAGATGATCAAATCTAACCTCTTCACTTTATAGGAAAAGAAACAGAGGTCCAGAGGAGTAAAATGAATTATACTTGGTCATAAAATAGCTTGTTGCTACTGACTTATCTCTTATTCCTGTAATATTCACAAATAAAATGAATACCCTGGCTACTCATAAGCCTCATTATTAACCACCCCCTTACACCGACCACTGAACATACAATCACAAGAGCATATACACTGCACTCTTCATCACTTAAACAAACTCTCCTGCTTACACCCTCTCACTGTACATGTACCTTTCATATGACTATAACTAACTGTGCAGGGATTCGAATATGCTACCATCGTATACATGTCACAGTGGAGGACCTACATTGCTCAAACACTTACCACATACCCCACTATGCCAAACACCCACTTTCCAGGGCATGCTATACTTCAAAAATGCTGCCTTCTTGGTTTTTCCAATATCCACTGCTAACTGTGCCTTTATTATTTACACATTTGATCTATTCATTCATTCATGAATTCATTTACTTTTCTCTCTCTCTTTGTATTCCTACTTTTGAAACGTAGGGAAACTTAATTGTAATAATATATGTGTAAGAAATGTGACTGAGAGCTTCAGTCTTCTCAGGATAAAAGACACTTAACAATCTTTCCTGAGCATATGCGTCTAGCTTTATCTATTACCTCTTCTTTCCTCTTCTCTCACCCTAACCTCCATTCCCCAGGCTCTAAGTCACATTAAACTACTCTTGGCTGCCTAAATACACCATGCTTTCACATATTTACCCGAGTCTTTATATGTGTTTTAACCTGCTTAGAATGCCCTTTCTCTCTTCCTCTAACCCAGCAGTCCCCTACCTCTTTGGCACCAGTGACCAGTGCTCCTCTGAGAATCTAATGCTTGATGATCTGAGGTGGAGCTGAGGCCGTGATGCTAGTACTAGGGAGTGGCTGCAAATACAGATGAAGTTTTGCTCACTTGCCAGCCACTCACCTGCTGTGTGGCCTCGGGTGGGCGGGGGAGGGAGGGGCAGAAGGAGATTGGGTTGGGGACCCCTGCTGTAACCCGCCTCATCTGGCAAATTTCTTTCCATCTGTTAATCTCCAATCCTAGTGTTACCTCCTTCTAACCTCTGCTGCCCTAGTCAACAGTAATACCTTATTCCTGTGTACTTCCTGGAACTCTTATTCATACCCTCTGCAAGCCCCACTGAATGATAATCACTTGCTTATTTTTCTTACTTCCCTCAGCTAGTTAAGCTCATCAAGAACAGATATATGTTAAAGCTTTGTATGCAAAACACCCATCACAGTCCCTAGCACACTATAGGTGCTTAATACTCTTTGTTATGTTGAAATTGATCTGGATCAAATTAGATTCTAGGAACTTTAAGAATCACCATTCTGCATACTAGGAACAAATTATGCATAGTTATGATTTCCCAAGTCTGAAACCATATGGAGCTCCAAACCAGTGACTTAAAGAATTAAAGTTTTTCCTTACTGGAATAAAGAACATTGCTAATTTTTATATTATAAATAAAAATCATTAACATTTTCAAATATTTTTCACATTGACGATTATATTTTATTCTCACAAAAACTAACAAATATTTACTGATAATTAAGAGTTACAAACACAAAATAAAGCAAAACAAAGCAAAAAACAAACACAAAAGTTTTAAATAAAAGAGAAAACCTGACAATAATATAATAGAACCTTTTTTTGTTGTTGTTGTTCAGATTGGGACATTGTGACCCAGGGAATTAAAATTACTTTTGGAATATGACATGCTTAAGTTACTTGCCTTTAATATTTTTATTAATTTAGCAACCTTGTGAAATCAGGATAACAGGTTTAGCTTTTCCTTTAGCCACTGAGACATGGTATTAAATGTCCTGTGGCAGAACTATACCATGAATTCTGAGCCGATGCCTCCTATGTGGAAATAGCACAAACACAATAGGTTCTATATCTAACAAGTATTATCTACAAAAAAAGAATGTCTTAATTACCTTTCTATTCCTCTCCTTGTTGAATGAATGAAGAAACAAAATAATGAGTAAATATGGAATCACATATATGTGAGTCCCTATACCTAGTAGTATCTGGATATCAACACAAGACTACATTTTGGTATTTTTATATATGAAAAGATCCCATTTGTTCATTCACTCATTATTCATTCAGGAAAATTAATTAATTAACTGTAAATGCCAGGCCTTGTTCTAAGCATTGAGGCTAGATAACAAAAAATGCTTGTGTGACCATTGAAGTCATTTCTAAAGTACTGGGCACGTAAATACCTACATATGCATTTACAGGGATGGTATCGAATTCCTACTTGTGAACTTTACAGAGCCTAGCACAGTCACCTACCAAAATTATATACACTTAACAAATGAATGTTAATTAGTAAATATGATTTTTTTCCTAGTATCTGGGGAATTTTTGAAGGAATTCTAACATGAGAAGGGAGAATACGCATCCTCCTCTCCAAATCCACATCCTATATGCACATCCCTGCAGCATATACGGCTAGGGCCAGAACCCCTGCTTCCTCACGGCTTTCAGAGCGCATGGTTAGTGCTGAAGGTATCTTCCACTTCTTCCTGTAATAATAAGCCCCTGAGGGGGGAAATAAATGATGTTCCAAGTCTACCTTTTATGCTCAGGTAGAGAAAGGTGGTAAGATGACTGGAATATTCCACCAAGGATGCTACCACAGCCATTTTTTTCTTTTCCACAGAAGTTTACTGAATATCTACTATATGTCAGACACTACTGGAAGCTGGAGACACAGTAGTATACCAAGGGGATATTGTAGTGCATCAAAGAAGCTCAAAGCCCTGACTGGCAGCAAAGAATTCTGATTCATGCATGCATGGGCATGTGCACTAGTAAGCTCCCAGTTATGCCCTATATCAAAAACAAAACAAAACAAAACACTAAAAAATGCCTTATTTCCAATTTCTTGCTAACTTTCTGGGGCTTCCTATAATGCTTTGCTTTTTTTTTCCAGGAAGCAACTTATGCCCCTTTGAGAATTGGACTGGAAGGGCATAATGCTGGGTAACTGCCATGGAACTGAGAGTAAATGGGTTCTAAAGAAGTGAGAGAAGACCAGGAGCTAGTTTTCACATGATCTGTGTCAACCAAGCAAATGGGGGTCTGAACAACAACCAAAATCTAAAAACTATGATTATCTGTGTTCTGCAAAATGACTGCAGAGATCTACGGGTATTTGGCTGACGCTTGTGAAAGGACAGGTCTTTCTCCAGCTCCCTCCACAAAGGTCTGCGGTATTTCTCATTTCACACCGTTCCCTAATGGGAAGAATGCTCATGAAAATACTTGGTACAACTGGGCTGCTTGCTGGGGCCTGCAGGAGAGCGCTTTTGCGACAGATAAGCAAAAGCCATTCCACTGATGATTCCAAGAGGTCCCCTATAGTACTGACTGCCAACTTCACTTCTCACCCTTGCCTGAGGGCTCACAGTGAAACCCAGTGGGAAGTGTCTTTTTGAAAGACAACTCTTGGAGATACTGTATCAAATGCTGATTCACTCCATTTCATTCATCTGAACCATGCTCATTGAATAACTGCTCTGTGCCACTCAGTGTTAGGTGCTGAGAACACAGAGATGGAAGACCCAAGGTATCACAGTGTGTTACACTGACTCATTATCTTCACCTGCATTTGCAGAATTCCATCTGTAAAGGCAATCTACTTAACTGACCTGATTTATCCTCCATAAATGTATTCAAGAAGCTTCTTGGGAGGGCCTTGCTCAACCAAAAAGCCAGGACCACAGAACTAGACTAGACCAGGTTTGTCCATGGTCCTGAGGGGTTTGTTCCTGCCATGTGACACTGGCAGGCCAGTCAGAGGCCCTTATGCTTCTGGCTTAAGTTTCTCCAGACAACGGCAGCAGCCCTCAAATTCATTTTCCCATCCCCGTTTTTCCAAACTCTTGAGCATATTATTGCCAAAGCCAACAAAGCCAACCTTTTAAAACCCAGGTCAGATGGTGTCCCTCTCCTTTTCCAGAATCTTCATTGGCTTGCCACTGAGTACAGAACAAGGCCTCATTTCCTCTGCCTGGTTTTCAAGGCCTTCTATGATTAAGCGGTAAACCTCCTCCCTAGTGTAGCCTTCACTACATCCCTGCAGATGCCGAGGCTTTCACCACACTAATAATTTTCCTCTCCTGGTTCTTTGCCCATAATGTTCCTACAGTCGAGAATTCTCTCCTCTCCAACCACTGTTCTCCACCTATGGAAATTCTCTATGTTCCATTTGAACGCCACTTTTTCCATGAAGCCCTTCCCGACCCTCCCAGTCAGAGAAATTCTGAATTCCTTTGCATGTCTATCACTTTCCTTTTGTAGACAGACCACGTGACGCAGAAAGAGAGGTGGTCTGATGTAGTGGCAAAGAAGCTGGACTCTGGAGCACATTGCCTGGGCTCGAGTCCAATCTCTGCCACTAACTAATAACAGCATCTACCTCTCTGGGTTGTAACAGTATCCATTTCACTGGTGAAAAAGGTAAAGGGATTAAGAAGCACAAAGTAGGCATGGGATGTAAAGTATAGCATAAGGAATATAGTCGACAATATTGTAGTAACTATGGTGTTAGATAGGTACTAGGTTTATTGGGTGATCACTTCATAAGTTATATAAATATCTAATTGCTATGATGTATACCTAAAACTAATATAATATTGTATGTTAACTGTTACTGAAAAATAAGAAAAATATTTTTTAAATTATTAACTATATATAAAGCACTTTAGACAGTACTTGGCACATGGTAAGCACTATAGAGTTAAAATTATTATTATTATGGCACTTATCTTCAATGGCTTTACTTATCTATTGTTTTCCTTTCTCCAGTCATAAGTTTCTGGAGGGTAAAAATCCTGTATTACTCTTACCTAACCCCCAGGATTATGGTGAAAATTAGATGAGAAAATGTATGTTGTCAGCACTGTGTTTTGTACTTGAGACATTAAATAAATTTATTACTTTTATGACTACTGCTACTACTCTTGCTTTGATGCCCGTGACTGACATTCTAGTATCTAGAGAAGTTCCTAATCACTGTTTGTTGAACGGTTAAACACATTCACAACCGGAGCCAAGCCCTCCAACCTCCCTGCAATGGGCAGAATACTGAGCGCTGCCCAGGTTCACTGTCCCTTCCTCAGAGCTCTGGGAGCGAAACTGCAAGTGTTACTTACAAGAATCCTGCAGCATAGGAATCTGATAGATTGTTTGTGCCTCCAGCTGAGGTGGTCACCACACCTTCAAGCCAAATCTTCTTTCCTGGAGTGTACGTATTAACCACCTGTTCACACAACACAAGCAGAAAGGGATAATGAGATTTTAAAAAGCTGTTCCTAAATGAGAAGGAATACCTATTCCCTTAAGGAAGTTCTTCTGACCTCTTGCTCCCAGGTAATTCTGTGCTTTTTTCACATTGATGCACCCCACATAGTGTGACACATAAGCATTAATGTTGATATGAGCGGACATGTATCAATATTAATAATAAAAAATGAAATGATCATTTTTTCCTAAATAAATACAATGTGACAGGAGAACAAGTACATATTCTGGGACATAAACTGACTGCAACACCCTTAACTGGAAAATATAAATCTATAATGTTTCCATATTAACAAATATTGAGAAGCAACTTTTCTTAATGTTCTGTGATAGCACATTCATGGGTAAGCGTACTGTCCATGCATCCGAAGCCATGAATCATGAGAGAGGGTAAAGATCAATGTTTGGGAGAGGTATTTTATAATTACCTGGGCATGTATGTATATTACAACCACATTTTGAAATAACTGCAGTAAGTGTAAAAAGAAAAAGCACTGACCCACAGGTGAAAAGATTTTACACAAGAAGCAGTCTTCTAAGCAGAGGCAAAGCCTCTTGTCAAGTGGTGGCCCTCTGAAGTTTTGAAATGGCCCCGTCTATGATACACAAGTTGGAGACTGGCCAAACTATCCAGATCAGAACTCAGATCCTTCGGAGAGCAATCTGGCAATACTGAGGGATTATGTTGCGTGATCCTGGAAAGCTTGTCTATAGGTAGTTCATTTGGGAAGTAATAACAGACAATAGGAATGAGGAAACTGGGAGACTGAAACAGGGAAGAGGGAAAACCAGTACAAGGAAGCATTTTCAAGCTGGCAACTACTGCTGGCAATTTGTACTCAATCCCACAGGGATCTTGGTATGAACTGTGCCTCAGAACTGACCCCCAAGAGGGGAAAAGGGGACGTATTTGTCCCTTGGCTCATATCTTCCAAAGGTCAAGAGTAGCCTCCTGACTATTAACCTCTCCCCCACTCCCCATTTCGTTGTACAGGCCTGAGTGCTAAGCAGATTCCCTGTGTTCTATATCTTTGTTTTAAAAAAGTCCTAGAGCAGGAAATGAAAAGCCAGGCCCCATGACACTACACCAACACCAAGGAACCTAAAGAAGACCATCTAGAATGTAGTGAGTAAAGGAATGAAAGATTTTTTAAATGGTCAGAAAACAAAAGAGGGGTATTTCTATTCTGAGTGTGATGAAAACTATTGGAGGGATTTAAGCAAGAGTGATACGATTAGATTTATGTAAAGATTACCGTAGCTGCTATGAAATAATACATATATAAAACGATCATGAAAACTGTAAAGTGATAAACAAATTAAAGTTCTGTTATTTCTCTGACCACGCTGAACTTCAGTGAGATGGAAATGATATCTGACGGCGTTGTGCCAAGGATAAATAACTTTAGGCCAATCACAGAAAGATCCTGAGAGCTAGTGAGAAGGGGCATAGGTGTAGCAGATGAACATTTATGTGAATCCCTCTAAAGTGATGAATGAACTCAGAGGAATTAATTCTAAATATATTTACAGTTTTGTGGAGGATTCTGAACCATCATTTATGATCCTGGAATGAAGTCCAGGAGCCTATGGACTAATTCCTAGGAACCCTGAACTATCAGCTTTTGGAGGGCAAGGTTCCTCTATTATTTACTTTTGTATTCACTTTCTAGCACAGTGCCTGGCACAGAGTAAGTGCTTAACTGGAGACTGTGGTGCTCTAGCCACCCAGGGAGGTCCATACGATTCCAAACCTGTCCATGGATAAGCTCATAGGAAACTGTCATTCTTTAAAGAAGTTATATAACTTAAGAAAGGGCAACTACACTGGTCAAAGAATTGGAAGCAATACCTTGATTGTAAAAACATCTTAGAGATCAGGGAAAATTAAAGCATACAATGAAAACCTATAACAGCATGAAAGACCTAGAAAAAAGCAACACTTTTTTTTTTTTTTTTTTGGTTTAAAGCTCAGAATACCAAGCCAGGGGTCTGCCCCTTGAATACTGAAAGATGGAAATTTCAGAGAAGGAAAAGGAAATACTGCTTTGCTTATCAAGCGATTTATATATAGAATCCAATAATCCTAGAACTGGTAAAGACAAATCGTCATCCAATGTGATTTGGATACCAGAAGGATTTTTTGACATATCAAGCTCATAATAATGTTCTTAAATTGAAGATAAGATGATAATCATGTGTTTCTACCACTTTTTCTGTGAGGGCATTTGTCAGAAGTACTTAATTAGAAGATGGCATGACCAATTTGGAGTGGCAATTTGTATGAGATGATTATATTTCAAAAGAAATTCAAAGTCTAGCTCCTTTAAATGAGAACTTGATTCCAGAAAATGGTTAGATTTATAAAATACCGTGTACACAGGAATCTGCAAGGACACAGACACTGTAAATAAAAGTCCATCTGAATTCGCTTCTGACTTGCAGGGAGACGGGAGGAAACAATCTAAGAATTATTACTGAGTAGTGGTTAGGGGCATGGACTCTGCACACAGATTGCCTGTGTTTGAATCCTGGCTCTATCGTTTACTCACTGCATGACCTTGGATGTGTTACATTACCTCTATGTCTTAATTTCCTCAGCTGTAAAATTAAAATAATACTACCTATCTCAGCACTTTTTTTGATAGTTAAGTTACCCAATATTCATAAAGTACTTGGAAAAGTGTCTGGCATATGGTAAGCTCTTAAAGTGTAAATCAAATATTACCAAGACCACTCTCTTGTCCAAAGCATATGCAATTGTATTTAGATCAATCTAGTATTAGAGTTGGTGGCTTTTCTTTTGGACACAACACTTGTGGTGGTAGGTGACAAGCCAGGTGTATGCTACATAGCAGAGAAAGGCCTGTTTAGAATTTTAAATGCACATGGATAATTCATTTTAGCATAATGAGCATTTAGAGCAGTTTATTTACCTACTCTCAGCACAGGAGCAATTCCTGTTGTTTTCTAGAAAAGCCTCACGAACAGAAAACACCAGGTGAGGTTAACTTTGATACAAAACCTAAACCAGTTATATGAAATCTTCTGTGGAAAAGAGATTTCCAGAAAGTATTCATGTTAAAGATCCTGGGAGTCGTTGGTATTAATCAATGAGGATTTTCCGAGCATTTACTGTTTGGGATGTGGTGAGAGGCTTGATGAGCTGCGTGTGCATCATAAACAGAAAAGACCATCTTGGTGACGTGGGAGAGGTACTGAGGCTGGGTGCTGGTTGGGACTAGGAAGGAAATCGGTATGGACAGAAGAGGAGTGGAAAAAAAATCAGGAAAAGCAAATGGAACCACCTGCAAAATTCCCTGAGAAAGTAAAACTCTAAGAAACTGAAGGCTATAGTTCAACACTGTGGTTTTCTACGTAAATATGATTCTCCCTGTGCTGAAAGAGAGAAAATTGCAGGACTAGAAAAAAACAAGGGTATGCTGCTGAGAAATGATGTGCCAGTGAAGGCTGTTTTAAGGAACACGCTGTCTGGGGAGGGAGAAGTGCAAATGCTGAGATTGCTAATTTGAGGGAAGCCGAGTGGTTGGCCCCCTTTTAGCAGTTCTTTGTCCCTGACAGACTTCAGCCCTGGGGCCTATGGACAACAGGGAATTGTGAGACATCCACAAACAGCTCACCAAGTGGCCAGTGGCTGCTCAGAATCCTTGGGCTTGCTAGGGGCAGGGTGGTGCGAAGGGCAACCCTTCTAGCTCTCTTCCCTCACATTTCAGGGGTTGAGGACATCAGGACTGTTTCTAGTGGCTATGCTGAAAGAGGAGGGGTGTGAGGGAAGAGAGAGGTTAGGAAAAACAGCACTGACTTTTTTAAAAAAAATTTATTTTCTCTACCACTTTGAATTTTTTTAAAAAAGGAAAAAACAGTAAAAATAAGAAAATAACCATTTATGTGGCACTTTCTCAAACCTGAGCTTCCTTTCCCTGTTTCTCCAAAAACTGAGATCTAAGTCTTTAAAAAAGACTCCTGAGAGCCTGGTCTCAGCCATTGGCTATGCAAGAGATGGTAGTCTTGCAGCAACAGACATGTTGTTTATGGTTATCCAAACCCAACACCTTCCTTAATGAGAAAGGAAGCAATAAAACAGGAACAGTGGACAGCCCAGCTGGGCTAATCAGTCCTGGCAGGAGGCCCACCCTCCAAAAGAAGCTGGAGTCCATTAATTCCAGCATCTCATCTACTTGGAACTCAACCTTCCCCAGGACCTCAGGAACAGCAGTAGCTCTTTAAGAAACCTGAACTGGTCCCCTCTATCATTTGTTCAAAGGAGCAGAATAGCTTCAGGAAGCTTCTTAAATCTTACCTTCGCACAGAACTCTTCTTGGGGGTGTCCCTGTCTCTTTGTTCCTTATTATATTTATAAGGGGTCCAGGTGAGAGTTCAGTAATGTTTCAGTGTTTCTTTCCATCTTTCTTGTGTGTTTCTGACTCTAAGCTACCTACTATAATCAAAGAGGAGGGGAATTATTCTGTTCTGCCCTCTCCTTCCTCATTGTCCCTTAGTGAGTGTTGGATTTTATTTCTCCCTTGGTCTTCTTACCAAGTCCATTCTCGTCTAGTCCACCCTCTACACTGCTGCCATTTGTTAGCTTGACACGTCTCTCCCCAGTTTTGAAATGTTCACTGGTTTCCCATTACCAGCAGCAATACTCAATCACGTGATCACAAAGAGAGGTCCATGTGATTAGTTAAGAGATGTAACTTATAAGAGTTAACTTGTTTCTAATAAAACTGAAAGCAGTGATCTAGGGATGATTTACTTAAAAAAAGGAGTGGATTCAAAGTTGTCATAGTAACATTCTTTTCATGCACCATTATGAAATTTTCCTTAACTAGGGAGGGAGGCAGGAACAACAACTAAAGAATCAGTAACTACACACAACTCATGGTCTATTTTATCCATTTGTTCATGGGAGTATGTTAGATATAGTGAAATCACAGT